TCCTGCATGTGTGGCTCTGGCCTTATTCCACTGGCGGTGCTCCCATAATCTTCTTGGCTACGATGTTTCATGACACGTTCGTGCCTATGCTCTGCAGGTGAGTTTATGTGGTGAGGTGTCTCTTTTGGCCAGGCGCTGGTTCGTGGTTTTCGGATACAAACATAACATCATAAAAAACAAAGGTGACTGTAGAAGGCCTATTGGCCCATACGAGGCAGCTCCTATTTATCCCCACCCAATCCTGCTCATATACATGTCCAACTTATACTTGAACTTGAGTCAATTAAGAGGCCCCACCGCCACCATGTTACGAGGCAAAATGGTGGAGGTACATGTTGTGAGATAAATGTTAAACTGTATCAGGATATTACGAGGTGAAATTCTGCTGCAGTTTTGATACTGAAGATGCATGTTGGGGATTGGTTGTGGCGTTTTATTTGGCCCTTCGTGCTTCTTCCTGGCTCCTTCCTTGTTCGTCTGTGTTATTTGTTACACAGTGGGTCACGGCCCTGTTTTTTTCAGGTTTTTTCTTGGTCACTCATTACTTGCCCTTCTTGTAGTGCCTGGCTTAGCCCTTCCATTTACATTAGATTCTCTGTGCTCGCCTAATTGTCCTCACCTAGTTGTGCTTGCGGGGGTTGAGCTTTGGCCCTTTAGTCCCGCCTCTCAACTGTCAATCGCCTGACATCTACATGGCCTCTGTGTGTTGTTATTCATGTCCCTTTCATTCCCGTTTGCTGCCTGTCTTCCTCATTCCTCATCTTCCTTCTACACTCTTGTCCCTAGCCACTGGTGCTGGGGCTGTTTTTCTGGTCTTTTTCTTGCATTTTCCCTTTTTTTCTGTTTTTTTTATTTTATCCTACACATTGTTGTGTATTTTGTATGTGCCTTTTGGCTCTTCTATTGCTAGGTTGGGCTTTGTCCATGTTCAGTTCCCTGCTTTTGCACCCCCTTGTGTTTGATTCTTTCCCAGCTTGCCAGGTTTGGGTTCCTGGTTTCCTGGCTTACCCTGCCAGTTGGCATTTTCCAGGTCTTGCGGTGTCCTTTCTCTCAAGTCTCATATCGGAACCACAGTCTCCGATCTCCTGGTGAGCTCACTGGCGTTAGGAAGTTTTCTGTATGGCAGACGTTCCATCTCCTTCCTTGCCGACTTGGGTTTCCGGCTTTGCTTGCTCGGTGATCGCACCCGAGATTTTCCCGTGGCTTCGCCTCTTCCAATGCTCGATCGAGCCATGGTGGGGCTGGTTCGATTTTGCCTCGAGTCTCTCACCATCTGTTGGTGGTCAGGTAGCTTCGTTGATGGTGTCCCACATGCAAGCTGCTTCTTGGCGGCGGTGTGGTTTTTTTTTGGGCGGTCCTGTTTTCTTTCTGTCCCTTCTTAGGTTTGCTGCATTTTGTTGGCGTGGTCTTGTCCTTCTTTTGTGGAGGTTCAGGGCCGTCATCTTGCCACATGCTGTCGCCTTGTCTCGTGCAGTGCTGGCGGAGCCGTTCCAAATTGCTTGGGTTTTGGAGTTACCTCTGCACTGCTTCGCAAGCCGTCTCTGGTATGGGTCACCTCCAACCTGCTCTTACACCGCTTGAGCCATCCTGGTTCTTGGATTGCATGCACTCTTCTCTTCTCCTTGGTTTGTTGTGGCCCTTCAGTTCTGGATGGTTTTTCGAGGCTCTTTTCTTGTGGGCATTGGCCTCTGGCAATCGGGTCAAGGGGCTTCATGCCCTCGTCTGGCTCCTGGGTTTCGGCTGTTTTGGTTCTCATAGGTTTGTTTGCTTGCATCTGTCTCCTTTTCTGGCGAAGACTGGCACTGCTGCTTTCCAGAGGGGTCCCTGGGTTGTTGATGCTTGGTTGGTCTGGCTAGGGGTGCATTGTGTGTTGTGTTTGGTTGTGTCACTTTGCCGTGCTTGGAGTGCCACGGCTGCCGTGACCGGGGTCACGTTTTGGGTTATTGTGGGTTCCCTTGTACTCTGTTCCTGGGACCGGTTCTCTCAGGTTGTCCGTGGGGTTGTTCGGTTTTGCCAGCCTGCTGTCTGTCCCCGTGCCCATGTCGTTCGTAGGTGGGCTCTGCTTTCCTTCATTGATGCTCCTGGGTCTTGTTGGGCCAGTGTGGCCTTGGATTGGCACTTCCACTTTTGTCTCCATTTCGTGTTGGGGTGTGTGCAACTTCCGCCTCCCGTGTTAGGACCCTCTTGTTTTTGTCTTTGGGTAGGTAGCTCCGGGAAACCAATGGGGCTCCACCCAGAAAACCAGCGTTGAAAGTAATGAAACGCCATTTTCTGGGTGAATCCTGAAGGCTCCCCTTCGTGCTTGCAACCCTCCCTCCCTCTGGTCAGTGGTTTTTGTGTGTTTTTGATATCCAGCCTCAGAACTGGGGTGTGGATGGCCGGCACGAGGGTCAGGGGCTCCCCCTTCCCCCCCCCCCCTCCCGAGGAGGGGAGAACTGCGCAGCCAGTGGTGCAGCAACGTGTGAAGTCATACTCATTTGCTCATTTCTATTTAGGGAGTTCTATTCACCTGTTTGGCTTTTTGTAGCAATTTTCACCAGAATAGGGGTTTGTTTTGGGACACCTACCTTTCAGGGTGCCAAACCCGGTCGATGGTAGACGTCAATGCTTTCAACCACACGGGGGTTTCTATAGGTCATTGCTCCTTGTGCCTCTGTTGGGGGGGGGGGGGGGGGTAGAGGGCAGGTTCTGGCTCATGGTCCCTGGTATGCCCACAGAACTCCATACACATGAATGATGCCAAAGTCTGACATTAGCATATCAGCCTGGATAGCTCTGGGAAGCCTCCGTGACACACCCAGAAAATGCCGTTTCATTACATTCAACGCTGGTTATATGATATGTAACAAAATAGAGCATAATAACATAGTTACTCATTATTATGTGTTGTTATGTATTACTCAGCAATGATATAAAGGCACCAACTGCATATCCACTTTGTGGACACTTCTTGCTACTAGTGTATTCTTCTTTGAGCATTGGACAGGTGCTTGCATCTTTTTATTACTGCATTATCTTTCAGTTCCAGTTATTAGGAGCTGTTCTCCTTATCAACAAAACGTTTTTATTTTTTCAAAAATCGTCTAAAATCAATTTCTGAAAATATTTTGATGAAAGTTTCACGACACTGAAGCCAATAAGTTGGAGATTTGCTTAACATTTATAATTTTTTTTTTAAATAATTCAAATATTTTTTGCTACCAGGCCCCCAATATGCGTGGTAATATGTGTGGTCTAAGGGTTAATGTGGTCCTCAGGTGACAGTTTTCTATCTAGAACCACCCCTACATCCCTTTCTTTGTCAGAATTCTTTAAAGATTTCTCACATAATATATAGATTGTGTGGGGTCTATGTTCTCCAATTCCACATTCCGTAACATGGTATTTATTCACATTAAATTCCATTTGCCAAATGTTGCTCCATATACTAATTTTATCCAGGTCTTCTTGAAGGGCATGACAATCATCTACGTTTCTTATCTTCCCTATTATCTTAGCATCATCGGCAAACATGTTCATATAATTCTGTATTCCAACTGGTAGATCGTTTATGTAGACAATGAACATCACCGGTGCAAGAACTGAACCCTGTAGTACTCCGCTTGTGACATTCCTCCAATCCGATACATTGCTTCTGATTGCGACCCTCAATTCTTTGTCAGTTAAGAAATTTATCATCCATGTTAGAAGCTTACCTGTCACCCCTCCAATATGTTCCAGTTTCCAGAACAACCTCTTATGTGGAATTCTGTCGAAAGCCTTTTTTAAATCTAGATAGATGCAGTCAACCCAAACATCTCTTTCATGTAAAATCTCTGTGGCTCGATCATAGAAACTGAGTAAATTCGATACATAGAATCTTCCAGATCGAAACTATATTGTCTGTCTGATATTATATCGTTTTTCTCCAGGTGTTCTACCCATTTAGTTATAATTATTTTTTCCAATATTTTGACTATTACAATTGTCAATGATACAGGTCTATAATTGAGGGGGTCTTCCTTGCTGCCACTTTTGTAGACTGGAACTATGATAGCCTGTTTCCACACATCAGCTACAACTCCTGTACACAGGGATGCCTGAAAAATCAGTTGAAGTGGAATGCTGAGCTCAGCAGCACATTCTCTCAGAACCCATGGTGAAACTCCATCTGGACCAACTGCTTTGTTTTTACTTAGTTCTTTTAGCATAGCAGTGATTGATAATGATTGCTTGTTTCCCTGTTTTCTTTTGGGGAGTTCTGTTTCCCTGTTCGGACTTGGGCTTACAATTTCCTACCAAGTGTGGTTTGTTTTAAGATGCCTAGGTCTCTGGGTGCCTAACCCCAGTCAATAGCAGACATTGAATACTTCCAACTACAGGGGAGGGGGGGTCCTTAGGCCATTGCTCCCCGCGCCTCTCTGTGGGGGGCCAGGTTCTGACTTGTGGTCCCCAGTAGGCAGATCTCCATTGACTGAAGCGCCAGACTAATAGCTAATATCAGTTCGATAGCTCCAGGGAGCCGAAGGGGCTCCCCACAGAAAAAACACTAGAGTGGGGGCAGCATTGATTATTTAATGGATGTTATGGAGAACTATGCAAGTTGATTAATAATTAGATTGCAAGTTTGTTGCTATGTGATGATATAAGCAAAATTTATGCAACATTATAATAAAGATAACAAAGAACACATACCAAACAGATGCAAAACAGAAAAACTAGACTAGTTCAATAGAAATTGCAAGTAGGCCAGAGATTAAGAAATCAAACAGAACCAATATAGGCAGAGAACCAGTCAACAAACAAAAAAAATATGAACAAGCTCATAACATGCTAGCAAAGATGAACAACACCAGTTGAAATGTTAATTTTCTGAGTAGAGCTTAACGTCACCCATTTTCTGGAATGCTAGCAGTGACCTGCGTCAACTCATGATCATAGCTCAGGAAAACAACCGAGAAAAGGACCTTGTCATGTGAATATACACTTATTTATAAGTTAATCAGTGCCAAATCTCTTACCTGCTAACAATTAATGGATAATGCTTGTGGATATTATAAATGCACATGACACACTGGCCTTGCATTTGGTAACTCAGCTCTGATATCTTCTTCACTACTCTGTCTTCAAGCTCTTTATCAAGCTCTTTATCATCACTTCCTGGAAAATTATATATAAATAAATATAAAAAACTAGTGCTGAATGTAATGAAACGCCATTTTCTGGGCAAGTCCTGGAGGCTCCCCGGAGCTATCTAGGCTAATAAGGATATCCCAAACTTTGGTATCAGTCAATGTGGGTGGAGTTCTAGGCCTACCAGGGACCACGAACCAGAACCTGCCCCCCTTCCCTCTCAGAGAGGCATGAGGAGCAATAGCCTATAGAATGCATGTGTGTTTTGGAGCATAATATATCTGCCATCACCTGGGACACGCATCCAGAAAAGTAAGCGCCCCAAAACAAACCCCTATTCTGGTTAAAACAATGAAAATAGACAAATGAGTGGACAGAACTCCCCATACAAAAACGAGCAAACAAGCATGATGTCACACGAGACCCCCCCCTTCCTATGCCGTCAATCCACACCCCAGTTCTGAGGCTGGATATCAAAATACGCAAAAACCGCCAACCGGAAGGGAGGGAGGGAGGATTGCCGAGGAGCCTCCGGGATTCACCCAAAAAAAATGGCACTTCATTACGTATATCCAACGCTGGTTTTCTGTGGGGAGCCCCTACGGCTCCCCCGCAGCTGTTTCACCAAAGACAAAAACAGAGGGACTTAACCGGGAGGCAATCGGTGCTCACATCCCAACACAAAGTCGAGACAACAGGCTGCAACTGCTGATCCAAAGCGACACAGACCTGACTAGGCCCAGGAACATTCACGAGGTACCTTGCAGCCAGGACCCTGTTCAACCGCCAAAAACGCAGTGCTTGAATGTCAGCCCAAGACGGGAGCAAGCGCAGCAAACTTGCGAACATCATGGGCACGGGGACAGACCGCAGGCTGGCTAGACTGAATGACCCTGTAGACGACCGGAGAGACCCAAACCCGAAAACGGGGAAGAAGGGAAACTGGATCAACCGAAAGTGCGTCACCGGCCACAGAGGCCGTGGTGCGCAAATAATGGTGGAGAACCGCAACCAGAAAAAAAACATGATGCACCCCCGGCAACCAACCAAGCAGCAACATCCCCCAGGAACCCCTTCGGAAAATAGCCGTCCAACCCCCCCCAGAAAGGAAGACACTACTGCAAATGAATAAACCGAGCACCAGAACCCAAAAAGGTAAAAACGACTGACAAACAAACCTGAACTGAAGGGGCCACAACAAACTGAGGTGAAGAGAGAAAAGAACACCCTGTTCAAGAGCAGGACGGCACAGGTGGCGCATGAGCAGGCCGGAGGTGAGTAATGCCCGAGACAGCCCATGAACGGTGCAGAACGAACAACAAAACCTGAGCAATTCAAAGCGCCTCCACCAGTGCTGCATGAGACAAGGCGACAGTATGCGGAAAAATGCCAGCCCTGAACATCTAAGAGAGCAACTCGTTCTCGCACTTGCTTACAGTCAATATTGGCTTATTATTAAGTGCATATGTGACATACTAATTGATTGTAAATATTTTAGTTTACCTTGAAAAGCTTCATAGAAAACACCAACCTCACCTAACCTTGTTAGTATGTTAAGATAAGCATCTTATTGCTTCTTATTTTCAATTATTACTTCACCTATCAACGGTATAGGTTAAGTAATAATTGTAATTAAGAAGCAATAAGATGCTTATCTAAACATACTAAGAAGGTTAGGTGAGGTCGGTGTTTTCTATGAAGCTTTTCAAGGTAAACTAAAATATTTACAATCAATTAGTATGTCACATATGCACTTATTAAATAAGCCAATATTGACTATAAGCAAGTGTGAGAACGGGTTGAAGAGAGAAAGACAAGACCACGTCAACAAAAAACCAGCGTTGAATGTACTGAAACGCCTTTTCTGGGCAAGACACGGAGGCTCCCCGGAGCTTACAAGGCTGATATGCTAATATCAGACTTTGGCATCAGTCATGTGTATGGAGTTCTGTGGGCCTACCGGGAACCACGAGCCAGAACCTGGCCCCCTCAGAGAGGCACGGGAAGCAATGGCCTATAGAAACCCCCGTGTGGTTGGAAGCATTCTATGTCTGCCATCGACCGGGTCAGGCACCCCAGAAAGGAAAGCATCCCAAAATAAACCCCTATTCTGGTGAAAATATTGTTATCAAAAGTCTGCGCAGCTTCCCCCTCCCGGGGAGAAGAAAGAGGGAGCCCCAGATCCCCCACGCCGGCTATCCACCCGTCAGTTCTGAAGCTGGATGCCAAAACACGCGAAAAACCGTTGACCGGTAGGGAGGGAGGAATGCCAGGGAGCCTCCAGGCCTCAACCAGAAAATGGCGTTTCATTACATTCATCGCTGGTTTTCTGGGGGAAGCAGCTTTGGCTCCACGGAGCTAACAACCCACAGAGGAAAAACATAGGGACTTACCTGGGAGGCGGTCGCTGCTCACTCCTCAACTCAAAGTCGAGACAACTGGCTGCAGCCGCCAACCCAAGGCGACACAGGCTCGACGAGGCCCAGGGACGTTCACTAGATAACGAGCAGCCAGGACCCTGTTCAACCGCCAAAAGCCCCGTGCCCGAATGTCAGCCAGGACATGTTGCCAAAGACGGCAGCAAGAGCAGCGAACTTACGAACATCACGGGCACAGGGATAGACCGCAGGCTGGCTAGACCGAATGACTCTGCGGACGACCGGAGAGACCAGAACCCAAGAATAGGGGACGAAAGGAAAACCGATCAACCCAAAGCATGTCCCCGGTCACAGAAGCCATGGCGCGCAAATAACGGCGAAGAGCCGTAACCGGACAAAAAAAAAAACTTATGCGCCCCCGGCCCGACCAACCAAGCATCAACAACCCAGGGACCCCTCCGGAAAGCAGCATTCTTATTCTTCGCCAGAAAAGAAGGAGAAGGCTGCAAACAAACATAACCATCACGAAGACCGAAGGAGCAGAAACCCCTGCGCCAGAGGAGAGCATGAAGCTCCCCAACCCGACTCCCCAGAGGCCAATGCTAACAGAAAAAGAGCATTGGAGAAATAATCTGGAACCGAAGGGCCCACAACAAACCGAGAAGAAGAAAGAAAATAGAGCACTGTCCAAAGACCAGGATGGCTCAGGCGGCGCATAAGCACCTGACCTGGTGTGTTAGGCATAATGTGACAGTCCTGGAACCACTAAGAGAGAAAGGACAACGCCACCTGAACAGAAAGCGAAGCACAACGGCGAAGACGTAAAAAGAACCAGAAGGACCACTAAGAGACTTAATACTGCTGCTGAGATGAAGCCCGCAGGTGGGACACCAACAAAGAAGCCACCTGATCACCATAGAGATGATGATAAACCCAAGTCAAAAAGATCGTACGCGAAGACTCGAACCAGCCACGTGACGCACCGGGCCGATCTGTTGGAAGAGGCTGAGCCCCAGGAAAACCTCCAGGTTCGGACACCGGGCAAGCAGCACCTGAAACCCAAGGCTAGGCCGGCCACCACGCCGACACAAAGACGTCTACCTCGGGGTGCCCGAACGTCTGGCAGAGCCAACGGAAGGAGTCGGCGGCGACCGTCCATTCCGTGGGGATGGGAACGAAACGAGACAGGCCGTCGGCCAAAACGTTGGACACTCCCCGCACATGAACAGCCAGGAGAGTCAAACCCCGAGAACTCAGCAAATGAGTCACCCAATGAGACCAGCACCAAAAAGCCAAGGACCACATCGAACTCCCTCGGTTAAGGCAATGAGCCACCTGGGAGCAGTCTGAATTTAGCCGGATTGTTGATCCACGGGCGACCCGAACCCTCCGTAGGGCAAACACACCGCCGCGAACTCCCACATCATGCTGTGGACTCAACGAAGGACAGACCTCACCGCCTCTGGCCGGCATGGTGAGCACTGCTCACCAAGGTCGCCATGGCACTGAACCCCGAAAATCCCGAAGAGGAAGCCAGTGATGCAAAAGCCGACACAAAGCCCCCAGGGGTTGAACCCAGCGATTGCGAAAGAGGCGAAAGAGACATCCCCCGAAGGAACCAGAACAGCCGACGAAGCCAAACCCGACCAGGCGGGTAGACCAACATTGCGAAGTTCAGGCTCCCACACAAACCCTCAAGCAACCGCCGAGTAACCCGGGAGCCCCAAGAAACCGGCGCAAACGGGACCACTGCCGGAGGAGAGACTCCGGAGGAAGAGAAAAGGAAACGGTCTGAGAGTCCCACACAAGACCCAGCCATGACTGAACATGGGAGGGAACCAGACGGGACTTCCTCCAGTTCACCAAAAACCCGAACCCAGCAAGCTGGGAAAGCACCAAATCCCTGGCTAGCAGACAACTGGACCGGCTGAGAGCCCAAACCAGCCAGTCAGCGAGGTAGGCCAACACACGAACACCTAACATACGCAGACGAGCCATGACAACCCGTGTAAGGCGTGTGAACACGGGAGGTGCCAGATTCAACCCGAATGGGAGACAACGAAAGCGGTAATCTTGAAGCATACAATAAAACCGAGCCAGTCCCTGAACCCCGGATGAATCAGCACGTGTCAATAAGCGTCCTGGAGGTCCAAGGACACCATCCAAGAACCCGGCTCCAACAGGAGCCGAATTTGAGACAGCGTAGTCATCCGAAAGGAGGGGCAATGAACCCAGAGGTTCAGACGGGAAAAGTCCAGAATGAACCTCAGGTCCGCACAGTCCCATTTCAGCACTGGAAACAAACAAGAAACCCATCTGACGGACGACGTCGTTTCGATATCTTGGGCGTTGTCGACACCCAAGCGAACCCATTCCAAGACGACTCAACGGAGCGCAGGAGAAGAGGCCTGCCCCGCCAGCCCGACCTCCCCCCCCCCCCCCCCGGAGGAGGAGGGGCCACCCAATGCCACCGCAAGCCGAAGGAAACGACCCAAAACGGCCACAAATCGTGGGACCAGGCATGAGCAAACAGCACAAGCCTCCCCCCCATCGCCCCATCAATGGGGCTAAAGAAAGGGCCACGGCGCCCCTTATGAGACCCAGAACCTCGCACAGAGCAAGCACCTCGCCAACCAGACGAAGGCGGGT